ACTTCCTTAGATAGTCTCAATGTCAAGGTCATCTTGATACTAATAATAGTCAGGATCATGGTCCTGCCGATTTTCTCTCTCTTTTACGTTTTGTTGATTCGTTTCTAGCTCAGTCTAAGGTTAATCCACATATGCGTCTGTTTTTTTAGTTATATACCCACAATATTAGAACGCTTTTTTATGTAGTTAAAATGCATTCCGAACGCGCGCTCAGTGCGACCAAAAAGGTATCTGATTAATAAGAAATAATTGCGTGTATAAAAATATTTGGAATATATTTCAAGTAAACCTTTTTTTCGCTAAGGGAGGCCTTGTCATCTAGATGCTATTAATTAAACTTAGGATCTCTGGGTTCTACAGCGCAAGCTTTCGCACCATGAGCACTGAGCTGTGGTGTGTCAACACGCTCGACCACCGATCCCCGTTGATTGAGGTGTCATAAAATGCCCCTAACACTTTTCTTTTGTCTGTTGCATAATAGGTGCTGAGGACTTCGACTTCACAACTGAGGGAGTCTTGAGCATTGCTACATCAGACGGTTACCCCAAGGGTTCACCCCTGTTGTCTCGCCAACCCCCTAGACCCACAACAACAAGAGCAAAATGGCAAACAGCGAACACAACAAAGACAAGCGCAATTTCAACAACAGCTGGGGTAGCGACTATAACAGCGGCACCGAGCCATACAACAGCGAAAGCCGTATTTGTAACGACAAATACTACAGTTGCAGCAACGGCTACTATAATGACTACAACGCCGCCTGGAAAGGCAACAACTATGGCAAAGGCTACAACAACAGCGCAAACTACGGCATCCAGTAAGTGTCAGCGAAGCTCGCCTCTCTCTAGGTTGCTCTTATAGCTTAGAGTGACTTCGGTGCCCTCAAATCGGTAGAGTAGAGGCTAGACTACATGTGCGAATAACCATGGAAAAATTCCACGTTTGAACACGTAAGGGACGTTCCTAATTATGAACTCACGGATGTATTTACGGCAAGCAAATCGTAAATATAGTTTCGCTGAGGCTCGTTTATAGACTTGCGACAGCGTCTGACCGGGTTCCTTACATCTTTTTGTTATCTTTTAAAACGAGAGAGCACACTGGCCCCCAACTCTCGGGTGGGTGGAAACACTTGTGATTCCAGTATAGTCCTTTACATCCTCAGTTGCGTGAATGCTGCAATCTTAGAATCACGTAACGCAGTCGCCATCAGGTTGTTTCAACTTGTCGCTGCGCTCTCGCTCCGCGCCTTGGCGAATTCCTTGTATTCGTGTTGTTCGCCACGTTTCACCGCGATATCTTGCCTTACACAGAAAAGTATAGTCCGACACATATATGTGCCACCTGATTGCATTACATCATGTTGTACAAGTTGGGCGGTTAATATTCTAGCACGATTTGACTATTTGCACCCTTCGGCAACCCGAAGGGCTGTGAGGATACAAGGCAAAGATATCAGTGTTAGCACTGAGCAACAATCATTAGGTAGATGACTAAGACAGCATGAGTGTTCAAGGGTCAATTATTTTGACAACTCAGGTTTGTCTACTAATGAATGCAGAACATTCACACATAGAACCGCTTGTATTTATGATCATGCATTTAGGATCGCGGAAAGTGTCAAGGATAGTGAGCTAAAGGAGACTATCTGTGTTTTCTGAAAATATTGTCAGTCCTTGGTATTAGAAAAAATTGGTGTGTGTATTTTCATACAGCCTAGAACGCAGTCTGCCTCAACGTGCGATATGTCTCCCAGCTATAGACCGACACACTGTTTACAAACAAGCCCGTGCTTGCCCACACCAGGTGTGGGCAACGCGCAAGCGCACAAACCCAATTCCCGTGAGGTGAAGCTTCTGCGCATGCGCCGTGGCGACAACAGCGCCACCGCAGAGGAGCGATGTCAGAGCCGCGTGTTGGTCTATAGATGAGCAATTTAGCCTGTACAGTACAATCGCGAGCCTGGTGTCTTTAACGTGCACCAGGCAACAGTGATACACGACCGCACACCGGTACAATGCTCATCCAGATCGAAACGGGCAGGGATGGGGATTGAACCAAATATCCCTGTGTTCTGCAGCGCGAGCTTTCGCTGCACGTGCTCCGAGCTGGTGTGCGCTAGCCCACTGGGCCACATATCCTCTCTCCTTCCAATTTATAGTATCTGAACACTGTTTCTGTTTATTATGTTAGAGAAGTTGTGGTGGAGATAGCAACGTACGTTTAACTTGCACTTTATTTGGAGTTACGATTAATGTTATATGAAGATCAGGCGTCCTTAATAGTTTTCGGGTGAGTATCATGCTGCTGGTTGGTTTACTTAGGTATATTAAGAAACTGTATACCTGAGACTAGGGTAGAGAAGAAACATCAAAACAAAGAAGAGACACAAATATAGAGGATGACGTACCAAACTCAGCTAACTCGATTATTTAGTCCACCTCCTTATATAGTCTCAATATCAAGGTCATCTTGATCCAAATAATAGGCAGGATTATCATCCTGTGAGATTTTCTTTCTCTTTTAAGTTTTGTTGATACTTTTCTAGCTGAGTCTAAGGTTGGTCCAGCATGGCTAATATTGCCACGCTTGTCGGCGAGCGACCGCGTGCGTGAGCGAGTGGTTATCGCGCTTGACTGTCGGGCGGAAAGTCTAGGTTCGATTCCAGTCAGTGGAATGCTGTTTTATTTATTCTTTCAACATTTCGTTCTCGTGAGTTCGAGAACACAGTCGTCGAACATTCTACGCCGATTAGTCCAGAAGCTTACGCATGTACATAAGGCGCTCCGCGTGGCGAACCGGGGTCAGTCTCGCCCCAGCGTTCGACTCTGGTGCTACGCCGACTTCGACGCCCGCGACGCTTTGTTATTATCTCTTGTACCCTTTTATTTTTGGGCACAAGTTCGCCCCATTAAACGTTTAGTTTTTTCAGTCTTTATCGCCTCATCAATTGTCATTCGTGACATTTTGGTGGAGGTGCGGTGTACCGCATTCCCGTGCAACGTTCCCCTCCAAGGGCCCGCAGTGCAAGTCCGATTGCCGGCTCGGTGAGAAGACCACTCATCGCGGAACCTGAAACTCGGACCAGCCGCCGCCCCAAGGGAGAGGATCCTGAGTACTGTTTGCTGCTGGACAAGCCCAAACCGAAGAAGAAAACGATGGCCAACCAGTCACAAGCCCCCGCCGCTTCTCCTGTCATCTTCATGCCCGTCGCACCACGGACGGCTGCCCCCTTCCACAGTGAACTCTACGAAGACGTCGAGGATTGGATTGACCAGTACGAACGTGTCGCCCGCAAAAATGGCTGGACCGACGAGCAGCGTCTGCAAAACGCGCATTTTTCGCTCGAAGGGACTGCCACGTACTGGTACAAAAATCACAACCCTTCTTTGACATCGTGGGATGTTTTCAAGAGCCAGCTGAAGGCAACATTTCTCAACCAACACCGCCGAGAGAGAGCCGAAGACCTACTTCAAACCCGAACCCAGGGCCCCAACGAGAGCGTCACCGGCTTCGTGGAGGACGTTCTGCGCCTAAGCGCCCGCGGCGACCCTCAGGCTGCGGAAGAAAAGAAGGGTAGAATCCTCATGAGGGGCGTGAGAGACAACATCCTCGGCGGCCTTGTTCGTAGCCCTCCGACAACAGTCAAAGATTTTGTCACTTAGGCGACGAACATCGAGCGTGCCCTGCAAGCCCGAGCCAGCCACTACCATCAAACACCCGGCCTCGCTGCCCTCACGCCGTCTAGCTGCGAGCTTGCCTCCAGTATCCCGGGCATCCGCGAGGTCATTCGAGACGTTGTCCGGGAGGAGGTTCGGAAGCTGCTGCCTGCTGCCAACCAGCCGGTTTTGCTGTAGATAGCCGAAGTGGTGCGCGAAGAAGTTCAGCGGGCAATTCAACCGGAGGCTCCTGCCAGCGTAGCTGCACCCGAGGAGCCTACCCTGACCTACGCCGCAGTGGCCCGACGGCCACCGCCTCCTCCTCGAGCCTATGTTGTGCCGCCCCGACGTCAGTCTCCTGCGCCGCAGCATGACCAACGCCGTGACGACCAGCTCCAGTACGCCAGCCAGGAGCCCCGTGCACCCCGGAAGACCGATGTGTGGCGAACGTCCGACCGACGCCCTCTGTGCTTCCACTGCGGGGAAGCAGACCACACTTACCGTCGATGCCCATACCGTCGACTCGGGCTGCGTGGGTTCTACCCGAACGACCCGCGACCCCGTTATGGTGAACGCCCTCGGGAAATCGACGAGTACCTGCGACGACCTCAGTCCCCCGAGCCTGCGTTCCGCCGAGAGTTCCAGTCGCCTTCGCCACGATGTCCAGCTTCGCCGATGCACCAACCCCGACGTGAAAGCCTGTCGCTCCTCGCTCCATGCCGGGGAAACTAGGCGCGGCAACCCCTGGAGGTGGAGTTGCCGAAAATGACCGACGTAAAGAGCCTCCAACAACGACGGAGCGCTCCCACTCTCCCGACGCTGCGCATCACAACGACGCTCCTGCATCGGTGTCCAACAACCCAAACGTTGTTATCGACGGCCTCGACGCGTCGGCACTCATGGACACCGGAGCAGACTACTCAGTCGTAAGTGGGAGGCTCTCCCGCCGTCTTCAAAAAGTCATGACGCCGTGGGATGGACCACAAATAAGAACCGCCGGAGGACACCTCATCACACCAGTTGAGAGATGCACTGCTCGCGTCGAGATCCATGGTGAGACGTGCCCTGTCACGTTCGTCGTTCTGCAAGAGTGTTCGAGGGACGTTATTCCCGGAATGGACTTTCTCTGCGAGTATGGCGCCGTCATCGACCTCGGAGCAAACCGGCTCACTCTACGAAAACCTGTTGCACCACCGGAGGAACCCGAAGCGACGTCATCCGCGGTCCGAGTCCTCGCAAGTCACGTAAACTTACCGCTGTAGGGGAGACCAAGAGATGGCGCCAGGAGCGCATCGTGATCTAGATAAGCGCGTGCGCCGCGAGACGCGGGGTACGGTAGAAGATTTCCTTAACATAGCCGGCCCGCTACCGACGATGACGAGCGAAGCAAGGGTAGCGCCCTGGGAAGTTGCCAAGGTATCCATCGAGCTACGGATCAAGCGCCTGCGAGCCAAAAAAGTTGGACCGATCAACGCTCTCAGAGAAGCTGTGGAAAAACACATCGAAGAACGCTACGGTGGTTGGCTGCAGATATACACGGACGGCTCTGTAAACAAGGCTAGAACATCCAGCACGGCAGCTTTCTACATCCCGGAGTTAGCCCTGGAATGGTGCGGCAGGCTACAGGCGCCTACATCCTCCACGACGGCCGAGCTAGTGGCTATTGACAAGGCCCTCCAAGCGGCTGCCCAGCTGTCACCTCACCGGATGGTGCTCCTCACCGACTCAAGGTGTGCCCTCCAGAAACTGGCCAATGCAGAGTGCGCGGATCCCGCGACCACTGCAGCGAGACAAACTCTATCGTTCCTGTTATCCCACGGATCTACGGTATGTTTCCAGTGGATCCCAGGACACACTGGCATTAAGGGCAACGAACGGGCTGACAGTCTGGCCGGTGAAGCTCACCTAGCGCCTCGCACTGTCCCCACACCACCACACCCACAGCAGGCGGCACTCAACGTCCACTGGCACCTTCAAGACAGCAAGCCAAAACCGGCGCTACCAAGAGGTGCGCTGTCCGGCCTATCTCGGGCGGCGCAGACTCTTGTGCGACGCCTGCGCACAAACACGGCCTACACGAATGATTTCCTTACGAAGATAGGTAAGGGGCAGCACCCACTTTGCTCCCAGTGTAACTCCGCAGAGACGGTGGAACACATTCTGTGTGTCTGCCCAGCATATGAAACTCAACGAGCAGCACTGCGCAAAAGACTTGGCAAGAGCGACCTCAGAACAAATGACATCCTTGCACCCGACGGTTCCGGACGAAAGTGCCAGAACATCCTGAAAGCCATGTTGGCATTTCTACGAGACACAAAAACCATAACCCGACTTTAAATTTTTTTTTTTTTTTTTTTTTTTTACGTTACCTGCCCATGCCAGCTACCCCGTGCTAGGCTAACCTAGGTGACGTTTAAAACCAAACGACGAACACACACACACACACAGACGCGGGGTACTTTACGCCACTTGATGCTAGGGTAATAAACGTTGTGGGTTTGCTTCGTCTACCCTCGTCTGCTTCGTCTGCCCGGCTGGCGCGTCGCGCCCAGAGCACACAAGCTCTGAACATGGTGTCAGAAGTGGGATACACCTGCTCGTAGTCAGCGCTACCGCCATGCCGGACGAAGAAAAGAGCGTCCACCTCGGGGCCACGGGGCTTCAACCGCCGTCGCCGTTCGTCTTCACGAGCCCAGGCGAATGGACAACGTGGATTCAAACCTACGAGGACTACGCCTTCGCCACCGGTCTACGTTCTGCAAGCGACGAAACGCAAGTAAGAACGTTGCTTTATTGCATGGGTCCGCAAGCTCGTACCGTACTAGCTTCGCTTGGCGTGCCAACCCCGGAGACTCAACCGTTTGCCGCCGTCAAGGAGAGGCTGACTCAACACTTCGTTCATCCGGCGAACGAAATTTACGAAAGCCGAAGATTTCACCGCAGGACTCAGCAGCCTGGGGAAACAGTCGACGCGTTTTTCACGGAGCTTCGAACCTTAATCAGACGCTGCAACTATAACAGCCCCGAGGTAGAAGACCGCCTAGTGCGTGACAAGTTCGTAGTCGGCTTATTGGACGAGAAGCTATCGGACCAGCTGTGCCGTTCCACACGACTCACCGCTGACGAAGCACTTTTACAAGCACGCCAGCACGAAGATGCTGAGAGGGAGCGCGCTTCTCGTTCGGCGCAAGCTGCAGCGGCCTTGAACGTCGACGCGACGAAGAAAAAGACTGCGTCATCCGCTCCGTCGTCGCGCGCACGTAACCGGCAGCAGCGTTTGGACAACGCAGTTTGTGGCAATTGTGGGCGTTCTGCGCATGACCGCAAGGACTGTCCAGCACGGAAGGCAACTTGCAATTTCTGTAAAAAGCAAGGTCATTTTGCAGAAGTTTGTCGCGCGAAGAAGCGCAAGGAGAAGTTGGGCTCCGTCGAACTCTGCTCTGTTCGTACGCAACGGGCAAGATACGTCGAAGTGAGCGTCAACGGCCACGTGACAAGGTTCAAGGTGGACTCGGGAGCAGACGTCACCGTCGTTCCGCCGTCGCTTCCAGGCGTTCCTCGCAAGCTCGACGCAGTGGAAGGAGAGCTTATCGGCCCGGGGAACCAGCCACTGCCTGTTTTGGGCACTTTCCAAGCTACTCTGGCGTGGAAGGACAAGCGCACCGTCCAACAGCTTTACGTCATGCGGGCTCAAACTACACCGCTTCTAGGGTTACCTGCGATAGAAGCTCTCGGCGTGGTCAAGTTTGTGAACACCACCTCCGCCGAGTCCGGAAAAACGGATGGACGTGTCCCGCCTTCCGACGCTCGTGTCAGCTGTGTTCCATCTTCTGACGCCCATATCTTTAAAGGACTGGGCGAACTCCAAGAAAAGTACACCATTCGTCTGAAGTCAGGGGCTCAGCCGTACTCGTTGAGCGTTCCAAGACGAATACCTCTGCCGCTGTTCGACGTCGTCAAGAGAGAACTTGATGCCATGGAAGCTCAAGGTGTCATCAGAAGGGTTGACAAGCCGACAGCATGGTGCTCCGGACTTGTCGTCGTCCCCAAGTCGTCGGGTGGGTACAGGCTGGGCGTCGACCTGACCAAGTTAAACCAAGTCATCGAGCGGGAGCGATACGTCCTGCCGACGGTTGACCAGATCCTGGGGCAGCTAGGCGATGCAAAAGTGTTTTCAAAACTCGATGCAACCTCCAGTTTCCACCAAATCAAGCTCAGCGACGCAAGCGAAGAATTAACGACGTTCATCACGCCGTTTGGTCGCTACTGCTACCGTCGTCTGCCATTTGGTCTGGCGTCTGCACCCGAATATTTTCAACGTCAAATGTCACGGGTCCTGGAGGGGTTGCCTGGCGTCGTGAATATGATCGACGATGTCCTTGTTTACGGTAGAGACCTTGAACAGCACGATCAACGCCTTGCTGAGGTACTCCGACGACTTGAGCAAGCCGGGGTCAAGCTCAACGACCAGAAGTGTGAATTCCGGGTTCCCTCGGTCAAGTTCCTCGGAGTCGTCGTCGATGGAGATGGTATCTCGCCGGATCCCGACAAGCTTCGAGCCATTCGGGAGCTACCTCCGCCAACGGACGTTGCAGGCGTTCGTCGTCTACTGGGGATGGTGAACCACATTGGACGCTTCCTGCCGCACCTTTCGGACGTAACTGCCCCCATCCGTTCACTCCTCAACAAGTCAAGCGCATGGTCCTGGGGAGCAAGCCAAGATGACGCGTTCAAGCGGTTGAAGGCTATGCTGAGCTCGGAAACCTGCATGGCAAAGTACCATCCACGCTATCCTACGATACTTTCCGCAGATGCAAGCTCATTTGGCCTGGGAGCGGTACTGCTGCAAGATCAGCCGTCCGGAGCTCGTCGTGCTGTGGCCTTCGCTTCAAGGTCCTTGACTCCGACTGAAGCACGCTACAGTCAGACAGAAAAGGAAGCTCTCGCCGTGACCTGGGCTGTTCTTCGGTTCGACCAGTATCTGCGTGGGCTTAGTTTTACCGTGGAATCAGATCACCTGCCGCTCGTCGCCCTGCTGGGAAAAAAGGAGCTGGAGTTGCTGCCACCGCGAATTCAGCGAATGCGCATAAAGCTGATGCGCTACCAATTCGACGTTCGGCACGTACCAGGGAGACTTCTTGCCACGGCGGACACGCTGTCACGTGCCCCTTGCGATGTCCGGTCTTCTTCTACAGTATTCTCCGTCGAAATTTTCGCTAGCGAGATATTTAAAGGTCTTCCACCTCCCCTCGCTAACAGGCTGGAAGAGGTTCGTCGTCGACAAGCTGAAGATGGAGAATGTTCTCTCGTCGTCCGCTACTGCCAAGAGGGATGGCCAGACAAGAGGAAGCTGCCTCCCAACTTGGTGCCGTATTGGAAAGAGAGAGGAAGGTTGACAGTCTCGGAGGACCTTCTTCTGCTGGACTGCCGCCTCGTTATTCCTGCTGCTCTGCGTAGCAACGTCCTGGCCCTTCTGCACGACGGCCATCAAGGACTTCGCCGCTGTAAGGAGAGAGCCAGAGAAAGCGTCTGGTGGCCTAACTGCAACAGCCACATCGAACATTTGGTCACCAGCTGTGACAAGTGTGCGGAAACAAGGGTTGTACACTCGGAGCCCTTGATGTCAACGCCTACACCAGATCGGCCGTGGCAACGCCTAGCCATTGACTTGTTTCAGCTGAAAGGCCGTGATTATGTTCTCATGGTGGACTATTACTCTCGGTTTCCGGAAGTCGTCTCCTTGAGCTCTACGTCAGCCTCAGCGGTTATCGCGGCTATCAAGAGCTGCTTTTCCCGACATGGGATACCGGACGTTGTACGGACAGACAATGGTCCGCAGTTTGCTTCACAGGAATTCGCAAACTTTGCTCTGTCATACGGTTTCGAGCATGAGACCAGTAGCCCTCGGTACCCGCAGAGTAATGGCGCAGTAGAGCGCATGGTGCGCACGGTGAAGGATCTTTTGTACAAGTCCGAAGACCCATACCTAGCGCTTCTCACCTACCGGGACACTCCGGGCGTCGCGGGAGTCTCTCCTGCCATGCTGCTGATGGGTCGGCGGTTACAGACGCGTCTTCCTGCTCTGCCGCAGCGACTCGCACCAGTTCAGCCAAGCCATGAGAGGTTCCGGGCTCAAGACTCCAGGAATAAGGTCAGGCAGGCGAGAGACTTCAATCGCCGGCACAACGCTCGCTCTCTTAATCCTCTCAAGCCAGGTGACAGCGTCTGGGTCACGGATGCCAGCTGTCAAGCACGCGTCCTGAGCCCTGCCCAACGACCACGGTCGTACGTCGTAGAGACTCCCAAGGGAATCCTACAGCGAAACCGCCGGCACCTGGTGCCCTTCTCGCCGACCGTTACTGCGAGGGAGTCTGTCGAGCTTCCTGCTGCCGAAGAGCCTCCAGGACAACCACCCGAAGAAGGTCAGCCTGGGGAGTTGCCCACTGCGGGCTGCTCTTCACCCTCTCTGGATCGTGCATCTTCCCCGCAAGGTGTTACAAGATCACGCTATGGACGTGCCATCAAGCCACCAAGACGGTTGGACTTGTAAACATCGCTTTCTTTCGAACTGTGTAACTAGAGTGCAGTAACGAGCTCCGGGGGGAGATGTAGGGGAGACCAAGAGATGGCGCCAGGAGCGCATCGTGATCTAGATAAGCGCGTGCGCCGCGAGACGCGGGGTACTTTACGCCACTTGATGCTAGGGTAATAAACGTTGTGGGTTTGCTTCGTCTACCCTCGTCTGCTTCGTCTGCCCGGCTGGCGCGTCGCGCCCAGAGCACACAAGCTCTGAACAACCGCCGCGGTCGAGTGTTTTCGTGCCTGTCGGGATCACCGAAGCTTCCTGCGGCGAAGTTCTGCTCGAGGGGAGCCTTCAGTTGCTTCTAGGAAGAGGAATAGGCGTCGCAAGAGGGGTAGCTGAACTTCAGGA